CCCTGGCAGAGTGAGTGGCTGGGTGGAGACTTTGTTGCTAGCTAGGATCAATCAGCCACAGAAGATCCTAAGCTTAATTTTCATGTTGTTGGCAGTGGCTAGTGATTAGTGTGCCAGTGCTGGGTACAAGGAGGTCACTCGTCCTGTGCACCACAACAGCACCACAAAAAATGACACTGTTGGTGCTGTAAAACCAGCAGGGAGAATCCACCTTGCTGGCTCTTACTCAAGCAAGTTGGTGAATCTGATCAGGCCACTTCACTGGCCAATACAGAAAAAACAATGGCCCTGTGTTACCTGAACATAGGAGTTTGAGTAACCAGCAAATATGTGGTCAAATACATGGTAGTCACCAGCTACAGGAAACCTTGTTCCTCTCTTCACACCTGTAACTTTCATTCAAGGTTTAAATGTCAGTGCTCGTCACATCTGCATTTGTCCACTGTGAGCCAGTCCTATGATAGAAATGTCTTCATATTCTTCTGTTCATCAAAATGATTTTGAGTGGACCTGACATTTTCCTGACCACAGACTGTGACGACTAATGACAGTATATTTATATATATATATATATGTCATGTTTTAACTTGCAGTTTGACAACAGTAAAAAAGTGCAAGAACTGTTGTGCTTTAAAATGCAAGAAGTCCTGAGCCATGATACAAATTCTGAGTCACACCATTACCCTAGGATATGAGTTTCCACCAGGATTAGAAGGTGATTTGTTTGTTTCTAGTAATGTTATTAAACTTCTGATTTACTTGAAATGGCTGTTCATTTGGCCTGTATTTGTTGTGCAATTTACTGTGAATTTCAGAACAGTTAACTGAAGGGTTCTGTGAAGAGCTCCCATAGGCATGATCAGCGACCTACAGTGACAATTCAGCCACAGAGTGTTTGTGACAGCTACACCACCACAAGCGTGTAGCAGGCACCACTCTCAGACTGTGCCCTCTCTGATGACCTCATGAGACAGGCATTGCTACAAACTGTAACCAACATTGCTAATTACCAACGTAGCAACAAAAATGGAGTAACTGTGGAAGTTTAGTGAAGCTGTGGATGACCTAAAAACATGCCGGTAGCGCTGCCTTCTTCTTCATAAGAGTGTCAGAGTCTGTCATTTCCTAAAGCTGGGTGGATTTTTTTTTTTAACAGTATTAATATGCTCCAAAATTAGTCCCCCTTTAATATGCACAAAAGATACCCAAGAAGTAGCCACCTTTGAAGGTCTGGGGCATTTTGAATACGATTTAATGGCAAGTGTGAAAAACAAATGAGTGTCATAAGTAGCCCCCAGAGATTTCCAAATGCCATAAGCAGACAGAGAGTTATTGATTGTTGCTTAACATGCCTGTGGAAAATAATGGGGTAGCAGCATCTGTGCTGTAGCAAATAAAGTTATTCCATCTGTTGTGCCACCACCAATATTTGGACATGTCCAGAGCTGAAGCCTCATTATGTGTAATGCCACCTCCACTGTAACTAGAAAGGATAGCAAGCAGGCTCCCAAACCCTTGTGCTTTTGTTGTCTCATATCAAAATTGTGAAGCAGTTTGAGGAAGAAAAGGCAAATCAATAAGCAATTATTTTACAGCCCTCACCACTCTTTGCCCATGTCAACTAATTGAACTAATAAATAATTCATGGTTCTCTTGCTACCTTGCTGGAGACGGTGGCAGTTTCCTCCAATGTGTCATCGCTGTTGATAAAGAGGTGACAGGGCTGATCTTTCCCTGTCTCCTTTCAGTCACAAGTGGCCTCATGAGTTTGACAGTGGTTGTTCAGGGTCTCTCTGCCAAGCTGAGCAGGTCTGGCAGGGAAAAAAGGGAGGCCCAGAGTGCCCAGGATGCCTAATTATAGTGTGTCACTTGTATTCAGTCTCCTCCTAACGACGCAAGTGGGCCAGGAGGCTCATGTATGTGGTCCCACTCCTGCGTATCTATGATGTAGTTCACATGAGTGATGCCAGCTGGGGAGTACGAGGGCACTGGCAGAGGCTGGGGGCTCCCTGATGATGGTGATGCCCTGGGGCAGCAGGGCAGGCACTGGCAACCAACCCAATCCCACCCCAGACAGGAACAGTACAGTCAGGGGCACCGGGCAGCCCCAGCTCTGGGCATCAGGCACCTCCCTGGGGATAGGCTGAGGCTGGGATGGGATGTTTGCTAATGGGTGATGGTCAGGATCAGGTCCAGTGAGGCTAAACTGAGTCAGACATGCCCAGGATGGTTGGGATCAGTTCTGGCCACATCAACCCCATGACCGTGGAGCAAGGGGCCACCCTCAGTTGCACCAGCCCTGAGCTGCCCTGAACCTGGTAGCCAGCACTGGAGCAAGCAATGTGCTCGGGGCCCTGACAGGCAGCAAACTAAAACTCTCATGAGATGAGCTAATGAGAACTGGAAAAGCAGGCAAGCTGTCAGGACACAGCTTCTTCTGTGGGTCTCCATACACCACAAGACTACATGATTCATTAGGCAACATACAGTTTAAAACAAGGTGGTGGGATTTCTACAGTCATAGCTGATATTAATTAACATTCATTATTTCAAAGCTAACTACAAACACCACCATTTTTATGTTATTTCTGGGTTGGTTTTTTTTAATATAACACTGCAAGCTCCATGATTTCTTATCCTTTGCACACCAGCAAAGAAGAGCCATGGGTGACTGGGGAGTCTGATGCAGTCTGATTTGACTTCTTCTTTGGTTTCTTTGATGGGAGGATATTTCTCACCAAGTTTCAGAAAACTGCATGCATCATCTTCCATATCCAAGTCTTCATGTGTGAACTTTTGGACATACCAATATTACAAGCTTTAAAATACGTATGAAGGAGGTGACAGTTAAGACAGAAGAGTAGGTAGTACTGTACTTTTTCATCACAGAGTGCCAGGTTATACTGTGAATCAATAGGAAGTTCAGACTCCAAGCAGAGACATCTAATGGGGTGATTTCCACAGGATGTTTCCCAGAAATCTCTTTTAAGATCTTTTAAATGATTACCTCTTCAGCAGACTTAAATTTTTGACTCACATTTTTCACAGGTACCTGCTTTACACTGAGTTTTTTCCTGAATTCAGTGGGTATGTTTTGGGTGTTTATGAGAAAAACACACTTAGGGAAAAGTTATCGTTTTGAAACAGTATTTCAAGTTGAAAGAAATCACACATTGAGAAACTCAAGAACCCTGGCTTGGAGCAGAAATTTTGTCCTCATGTCAGAGAGTTCTCTGATGCATTTACAAAGTCTGAAGGATCTTTATTTACATGGTCCCAGATGGATTTGTTGGTATTTGGTACCTGAATTCTCTAAAGATGTTGTGGAACCAGATACCTCCAGCTCAGGCTGTAGAGGCTGAATACAGTTTTTTCTGTAGTTGGTTTTTGGGACTGTCAGGAACCAACACATTGTCATTGTTGGAGACATCTTCCACCCCTGAATCACCACAAGTCCATCTATTAGTGTTTGGATGAGCAGCAAATTCCCTGTCTGTCCACCACTTGCCATGCTTTGCTTAATTTTGTGGAGTGGTCCTGCAGTGCATGGGTTGCACTTCTGCAAAGTGAAATTATTAAGGGGACATATGGTTCTAATGTAAAGGAGGGCCCTGCCCATGAAAGGTTGTCCAAAGTGAAATGCCCTGAAAGGTTTATGGGGTGGATACTGGGTCCTGAGTGCATACCATTTCAATCCAAAGGTCTGCTGCCATCAGGCCACAGGATTTGACAATGAAAACAGACTTTCTGTAGTCTAAAGTCCTCATAGCAGCCTTCCAGTAGCTGAAGGGGGTCTACAAGGATGCTGGAGAGGAACTCTTCACTAGGGACTGTAGTGACAGGAGAAGGGGTAATGGGTTAAAACTTAAACAAGGGAAGTTTAGACTGGATATAAGGAAGAAGTTCTTTACTGTAAGGGTGGTGAGGCACTGGAATGGGTTGCCCAAGGAAGCTGTGGATGCTTCATCCCTGGCAGTGTTCAAGGCCAGGTTGGACAGAGCCTTGGGTGACATGGTTTAGTGTGAGGTGTCTCTGCCCATGGCAGGGGGGTTGGAACTAGATGATCTTAAGGTCCTTTCCAACCCTAACTATTCTGTGATTCTATGATTCTAAAGAAGTAGCAATTTCCCATCTGAAATGCAGAGGCCAAATCTCAGGCCAGTGAAAATGAAGGTATAAGGAACCTATCTGAATATAAAAATGGGTTGTTTTTTATCAGTACATGCTATGAATTTCATTTAGACCTTCAGACAGTGAGTCTCAAAGTGGTATGAGGAAGCTATGGCAAGATAAATGGGAGCCAACTGCTCATGGAAGTGGGAATGGAGCAAAGAGCTGGGAGGAGAGAAGCAGAACAATGGCTGGCAGCATCCAAACCACAATTCAGTGAATAGGTCATGGGTGAAACCCACAGAAGTTTTGCCATTGACTTCACCCTAGAACTCCAAACTGCTTTACGTTCACCAGCCTGAGCAGGGTGTGATTTTAGGGCTGTTACAAACACATTTGAACTTTCAAATAAAAAATTGTCCCATCAACACCTCACTTCCTGCTCTCATGCTGTGATTGTGCCTGCAGCTGTAAGCTAAGCACAGCCACTCAGCAGGAATAAGCTGTCGTTTATCTACTGGTTTAAATAGCAGTTTCTTAGATTTATTACCTGCCTGATATCCTACTTGTGGAATTTGGCAGTTACATGAAGAAAGATCTTATTCCTGAAACTTTTATATTTTAAAATGAAAATGTGTGTGTGGTCTAAACCTAAGTATGTATTATTAAACCTATTACCAGCTGTAGTTTACTGGCAAGGCAATAGGACACATGAAAAGGAAGAACAGGATGCAACTAAGGTAAATCAGAAACCACTTCAGGCTTGATAATATTCATGACTTGTACCTCCTGCAGTAAGTTGGTTAATCGGCAGAGGAAATGCACAGGATCTCTATAAATTATTTAATTCAGAAGTGACAGGAAAAGATTATTAATGAGTGACACTATGATATAATGCCCTCATGGTGAGACCACCTGTAGTTTAATGAATTAACACTGTTAAGAGGATCTTTGCTTGAGACTTATACATTTAATTTAGTTGTGTTAAACATGCCACTTATTTATCTTTATTAATGAGATTTCTATTTTTAGATATTGGTCTCAACATGAGCAATGGGACAATACAATCAAAAGCTGCTTCAATGATATATACTCTCCAGGGGAAGAGTGCAGTGTTTCTTTGCGCATTCCTTCCATTCTTCAATTTTTCATCCGGTCTTGCAACAGCTACAAGCATAAGCCATGACAGACTCTGCATCTGAAGAGCAGGAGATTATAGAGACTAATTAGGTGATGCAGGAGGCTCACTCTTATCAAACAGCTTTAACTCCATGTAATATTTTTTATTACAGCAAGAGAAATGTCATATTTAAATATGAAACCTGCTCCGTGCACAGTTACATTTCTCTTCAGCCTACTTACTTCCCTCACATGGCCATCATCCCAAAAGCTGAAGCTTCCCCTTCTTTTCCTTGACTCTAACGCTTCATGCATTTCACCTACTGCTGTCTCACAAATCCTCTTTTGTAACCTGGTGCAAGACCTTATTGAAAATATGGAGCCAATCAAGCCTAAATGAAGCCTCAGACCCAACCTGGAGAAAATATCAACATGGAAAAGTCCCACTTTACCAAGCAGTTATGAAAAACAAACAAACGAACAATAGAATCAAAAGTGGTCTCTCCCACAACTCCCCAGCAGAAAACACTAATATAGATCACTTCTGAAGACCAGTTTTGGTGCAGTTAGAGTCAAGTAAGTTCAAAAAATATTGCAATATCTTCATTACAGAAAATTCTGTAAAAAACTACTAAAAAAAACAGGAAAAATCCTTGTGTAGTTGAATCATTTACTCAAAAATCCATTCACTGGGAAACGAAAAGTTAATGAAATTTTTTATCACTTTCTTTGCTGACCTAAAACCACAAAAATGAACTTGTCTTTCTTACAAAAAGTTGGCTGCTACCATAACTGCCCTAGTCTGAAGAAGAGCTAAAGGTCAAGTTACCTTTTATAACCTATATCTTGAAGGAAAACTGAAAGACAAATACAGCTTAAGGTTTATACACCTACATAAAATACTGAAATGATCTCCTGCCCAAATACCCCAATATTTTGATTCATTTGTCTTATTTGTTTAATTATATTGAAGAATTCTTTTATTTTCTTTTCCAAGAAGAAGAAAGACAGCAGGATCCTGAGGCAGAGGAATGTTTCAATATAAAAGGAAAAGCAACATTTTGTTTTACATACAAGAATGAGAAAATGATCCACTCATGGGAGAGCAAGTGCCTTTGGTGGGTGTCTTGGTAATTTCCTCAGTGCCATCATTTGGTATACAACAGAAGACCATAACAAGAATTAAACATGGAAGCTGTTATCTTAAACACATTTTAGAATAGTTACATTCTTGCAAATAATTAACAAAGCTCCCACTATACTAATCAGGTATTCAAATTCACCTAGTGGTTTTGTTGACACCTCCTACACATCTCCTGATACAGCTATGGATAAGATGCAGGAACCATACAGTTATTTTAGGAATGTTTTTATACAGAAAACTGTTGCAAAACCTCAGTAATGATGCAGAAACGTGCAACAAGAAGTTCTTCAGTCTGATGGTGGGTTTTACACTCCTTCTGCATATAAAACCACAAAACGTCATGTAGCAGAATTAAGATTTTTAGCACTGCTTTACAAACACAGAAGGTATAAAATAATTCCATGTCCTTATAACTTACTGTCACTTATGTCAATAACAACAAGTGTACCTGAAGCAAGTTCATCATTTGAGAAAGCACATTCTACGAATCTGCTCTGCTTTTTACTGAATTCAAAAGGACTAGCAGGTGCACTTTAGAGGCAGATATTTGCTTCTCAGATATTTCAAAGGGGACAGTGGGCACACACTGGTGTTTGCAGAAGGAGCTGCAGAGCTACAAGGAACCACAGTGACAGTAGCAGGGCCCCGTATGCATCCCCTACTCCAGGAACTAGCCATCAGGCTCAGGGCAGTGCAGTGCTGGCACAGATGAGGGCATCCCCCATCCCTGTGTCCATAGGATGACATGTCTGAAACCAAACCTGGCCATCATGGTCTGTGTCTGACCTCTCTTCCCCTCACTGCGCCTGATCCTGATCCCGTCCCATGGACTGATATTCCATCCCAGCCTCAACCTGTCCATGAGTTGCCTATCCTCCACTGGGGTGGTGGGTTCCTGGCTGGTGCCCCACTGACTGGCTCCACACAGCCAGTCTGACTTTGAGCCACAGCAGGGTGGACAATGGCATTTTATGTTCAGTTTGTATATAAAAACATACTGGTTCAAGGCAAAAGTTTCAGGCCCCTTGTGGGACATTCACCTCAACTGATCTTAAGAGTAGAATCCAGGTGCCTGAATATGAGTGCCTGGTGCCACACAAGGTCCCTTAGGCAGTGCCGTACAAGGTCCCTTAGGCTCTGCCACCTGGCCTCCAGCACTGCTCCAGTAAGGCACAGATTTCCCACCACTCCTGCAGTACACCTGCAGCCTTGCCATGGGCTGGGCCATGTCTGAATGCCTATTCCAGGGAAACTGAACTGAGCCTTGACTGTCTATATCATAAAACTGAAATTCTTCTTCAGTTTAAGCATCTAAATTTAGCTATGACAGATGTTGCCATGGGATACATGTCTAAGCTCCCATCATTGTCAGTGGAGCTCTAGTCAATACAGTCAGGGGATGTAAAGAGCTGCGCAGACAGAAGCTGTTTACTTTCTAGTGGGCTAAATCACTACCTCGAGTGTCAGGGAGCAGCAGGAGTGGTTCTGCTTTGGAAGGGGAGATGAAAGCTGAGAGTGGCAGCAGGGCAGGCAAAGTTGTGTCCTCACTGACACTGGACAGTCCTGGAGCATCAGTGTGAGCAGAGCTGAGCAATATTAGCTGAAAGCCCCATGAGTCTGTAGTGGCAAGGCAGACCTGAGGCCAGAAAGCCAAATCAAGAAGCCAAGGTCAGGCTCAGGGAGCTGCACTGTGATGCAGGGGCACCCATGCACTGCAGCTCTGTTAGAGACCAAGCGAAAGAGCTCCCAAGTGATGGAAGAGCTGCACCCCACTGAGTCAGAGGGACTTGCACAGGTCCCTGGAAGCAAGCTTCATTATCTGCAATGAATAAATGATTTCTCTGTCAGATAGGTATTTTGTGCTTTTGGGATGTCCTAGAGTACCCCTCCTGACATCTAGCTGCTGCTTCAGAAGGGCTGATATCTCCTATGGCCTATCTGCCAGCCCTGAGTAAGTACATTAGATTATTTTAGGAATTTCAGTGACTGTATGCAGGAATTTAGACACCATTCCACACCACGGACAGTCCTACTTGTAGACACCTAGTTGTAATCTGCAGCTAAATCCCACTCCAGGGGTCCTGCCTGAGCCAACTGTCTGGACTCCCTTTCCTAGCAGTGCTGAGAGAGAAGCAGCTCCAGAGGCAGTTCAGCTCATTTAGGTAAGTTGGAGAAATCTCTCTTTAAAGGTGCGCTCCTCTCTCTGTATAGACGAACCTAGATGATTGATGAGAGAGGATAGCTATCTAATAACCAGCTAAAGTTTAATGAGATGCCCCCCACCCTTTGTGTTTAGATATGTGGCTGTGCAAGGGACACTGATTAAAGTCTACAGCCTAGTACAAGTTCCTAGTTCAAGGACTTGCTGAGGACAGCTACACTGCAAGTACACCTACAATGTAAAACTCTGCACCTGTGTATTCTCAGCCCAGGCAGCACCAACTCCTAGCTCCTCAGCTTCTGTCTGTACCCTCTCAGGATCTTTGTAGAAGCTCTCTGTTTTATCTGCAGCACTTGAATGTTTGAAGGAGTAAAGCTGTGTGTGCTCTAATACATAAGGGCCCACAGAAAAGCAGCAAAAAGGACCAATTTTCTCATTTTAATCCAATAATTTAGTCAAAGCAACAGTCAACAGGTTGGAGACCTGGGCTCAGTGACGTACTCTAAGCCTTACATACCACTCCTCCAGAGCCCTCTCTGAAGGCAGAGAAAAGAAACTGTAGACAGAAAGAATACATGAGAGCATCTAATCAGATGTGTAGAGCACTCATCTGAGAGAGAAGAAATCAGCACTTCAGTTTCTGCATCAGCTATTATTTATTTCATCAAATGGCTGCCTGATATAAACCACAAACATTAATTGGCACAGAGGGTTGTGGTATCAAAGTTCTTTGTTCTTGTTCTTATACCACAAGTAACTATGGATTCCAGTGAAAAATTCATAAAAATTACATAATTCATTTGCTTCTTTATACATCAACTCATCAAAAGCCTATTGAAATAGTTCTTCCTGCTCCCTGCACCACACAACCCCACTAATCAAGCCTGGAAGTTTGTTAAGGTGATTAATACAGCAACTCAGTCTTTTGGCATGGATTGATGTAAAGGTGGAGGACAGAATGAGGATGGAGCCAGGCTCTTTTCAGTGGTGCCAGTGCCAGGACCAGAGGCAATGGGCGTAAACTGAAACGGGGGGGGGTCCCTCTGAACATCAGGAAACACTTTTTCACTGTGAGGATGACCAAGCACTGGCACAGGTTGCCCAGGGAGGTTGTGGAGTCTCCATCATTGAAGATATTAAAAAGCCAGCTGGATATGGTCCTGGGCAATGTGGTCTAGGGTGGACCTTCTTGAGCTGGGGGTCAGACTAGATGACTTGCAGACATCCCTTCCAACCTCAGCTGTTCTGTGAGCCTGTGTTTATTTCACTCACGGGGTCTGGAGGAGCGCCAGTTGCGTTGTGTCAGTAGGGTATTCCAAGTGCTTCAAGGCTGCCTCATGAGCACCAAAGGACTCAGGCACCAAAGTTTGGAGACTGCTGAAAACCTCTGCAGAAAAGAGAACCTTGTAAAAAGTAAATAGATTACTCGGGCACATGGCACATTCTGCTTTGCCCTAGGGAAATCTACTGGAAAAGGTCAATGATTCCATTTATTTCTGACCCACTTTAAACTCTGTGCAGAGCACATGATTTGGTGAGCTCATTTACACTGGGTTGAACAGCACAGTGAATATGCCTTGGGTCCTAATCATTTCAATTAACAAAATCTAATAATTTTGACTGAAAAATGAAAGCATACTCTCCCTCACAGCCAAATGCACAGGGTCTCTATTAATTTCTGTCAATCCATAAAGTGCAGTTAGGATTGTCTCCTCTCTTTGAGGGCAAATTCAGTATTTGGCTGCAACCTGCCCTCTTTCTAGTCTCACCTGTCACCCAGTGGGAAATCCACAATCCCAGGAGTTCTTTCAGGACATAGTTTGTCCTTCCAACAAAGGGCATCCTGTTTTTCTTGGTTAGCTGGCCTTCCTTCCCTCAACAAAACCAACAAAAGCCTTACATAATTAAAGCTGTAGCTCTGTTTCAAGGTGTTTTTAAAGACAGTCTGAAGGAATGTATTAACAACAATGCACACAGCAATGTGAGTATAAAATGGTACACAGATTCTCCCTTAAACAGTGAGAAATGGTGAGAAACAAATTGTTGTGTTATGAAAACTGACTGTGCATCAGAAGCAAATTAAAACAATCTGTCAGAGGGCAAAATGTGATTTTTCTGGAAAACTAGAAATATAATCAATGGTGTAAGTGTTTGAAACAATAGCAGAACTCTATTTAAAAGGTTTGTAGCTTTATTTTTCGGTAGCTCCCTCTAGCTCAGCAGCTGGACCAAAATATTTCTAAGTTTAGACCCATGAAGATGCAGACTAAATATAGGATGTAAAACAACACTTTCTGAAAACAAAACTCCAAAATTTTCAGCTGTGGGTGTCTTTGGTAAGAGGTTCACTCTTAGGTAACTGGATGCAGATCTTACTCATTTCAGTGGGAGTTGTGGGACTAGGTATTTCTGAGCTCGCGGACATTTTTATCCAGCCATGTCTATGTACATGAAGGGGTTTTGAACCCGATCTTCATTTTTCAAACCATTTCTTTTCAGCTACTTTTTTCACTCTGCTTCCCTATCTAAACCTTTTTCTCCTCCGTTCTTTTCTAACAAAGAAACACATCACTCTGCTGAATCCCACACATCTCCAGTCTGGAGATCTCCTTGCTATACCATCAAACTACCTAATTTTGATGACACCAGGAGGAATGATATTCCCCTCTAGTAATACTGGAAATACCACAAGATGTTGCTCAGTGAAGTATTGACTGGTTTCATTTCATGTCATCTTTCAGTAACATATGGAATGTAAATTCACAAGTTGTAGCACAAAACAGGAGGGAACAAGTCCTGAAGTCACAGACTCCTTCATAAAGTTGGGGAAGTTATCATGCTGTTCAGCCATCAGAAGTCCCCCAGGAGGTGTAGGGCCAAGCCTAGCTATTACCAGGTGTGGTGTGCATATCTTTGAAGATATTCCCCTTCTCCAGCTGCAGCAATTAATCTCATCCTGCATAATTTATATTGAATTGCTGGGAAGAGTCTGGTTAATGTTATCTAGCAAGAAGAAGACACTTCCCTTCGGTATATGCATAAAGAACAAAACTCCAATAAAACTAATTGGGATCATTTTGCTGTCATGACCTTATGTCAATCTAAGTACAGAAAGTAACAGTAATCACAGAATAAACATCAGGCAACAATATTGTTTCTGGCTCAAAACAAGAAAGTTAATTTCAAAGTTGGAGCAGTTACTCTTTTCCACATAAACTGTAACACTTCTTCAATGAAACTTGACCCACTCAAGGCAGAATGAGAGCTATCCTCCTTTAACAAAACAACATATGACTACTCTGTCCTCTTATCTATGACTAACCCCAATTAGAATTTACTCTTTTTATAAATATTCAGGCATCATTTGACGTACTGTTGAAGCAAGATAGATCTGAAACCATTCTGGAAGAATCACAAAGATCATTCACAGGAGGCAAATGCACTCATCTGTGAGAAATGGGAAGTGAAAGCTCTACAAGGATGGAGCACTCTCAAAGTATCTGAAGCACTTGATGGATCTTTTCCCACCCTCTGTGATTAATAGAATGCATAAGCTGTTCAGTCTCCAAGCATTTTGCTTGAGGAAGCTTTGATTTGAAAAATGAGACAAGTGCTTCCAGTGCTGTCATTGATAGGAAATTAGGTGATAAAAGAGAGCGCATTTAAGCAGCTCTTAAATATTCATAATTAGAGCTGTCAAACTGCTATACTATCCCTCTCTCTTCTTGCATTTACCCAAACGTTCTGTCAGGAGTAATGAAAACAGCAAAGCCAGGGGGATGTGACAGTACTGAAGTGCTTCAGAAGTAATCACAGGAGGACAAACACAGTGTGGTGGTTTCTTTTGGCCCAGACCACAGTACAGATACAATCATCAAGTCAGATGTACCTAACAGTTAATTTGCTATGTTGTGAGGTTTTGAGTTACTTTTCTTTTAATGAATGGCACCATCAGAGGCTTCTCCTTCTACTACTTCCCCTCTGTCTGGTGCAGTAACAGAGCATTTGACTTACCAGCTTTGGATTGTTTTTCTAGAATTCCATCCCAGGATGATTTTTCTCATGACTGTGAAAAAAAAAAAAGAAAAAATCATCTAATGCAAAATTATTATAATAATAAAAAATGGCTAATTTGTTTTAATATTATGAAAAAAATTATATGTGTATATAGATCTTTTGTTTTCTGACAGAAGAGGCTCTCAAGACAGGATATCCCAAATATGAAAGCAGCTATACTCAAAAAAGGAGGAATTCAATTGTTATGAACTTCATTAACTTTTGTTTTAGAAAGTTATTAATTTAGAAGAACTCCAACTCAGCTCTACTTTTTTGGTCAATGCGGCAAGAAACTGCAGAACTTTATCAGCAGCCTGAGATGTGTTTGAACAGTCAGCTGCGCAAGCAAAGCAGCACTACACATTTCAGGTTGCTCCTGACTAGACCAAATCTCTGACAGGCATTTCCAGACAAGCAATATCTGCTTGGGTGCAAATTCTCACCATTTGGTTCATCCCTACAAAAACATCTGCTCCTACAGAAGACAATCTTTGCTTCTTTTATGTTTTTCCATACAGCTTCTAAAGGTCTTTCTGTATTGGGAGGAACACAAGCAAGCTATAGCTGCAGCAATTCAGGTGCAGCCAAGGACTTAACCTGATGTAAAGCAAACTGCAGTGACTTCCAGCTGCCTTCAGTGTCCACTAGGTTGACCCTTAAGGAATAGCAAAGGTGGACTAGAATGTGTCACATAGCGTCTGTAACTACTGCTGGGACCATTTCTAAACTAGAACATTAAAATATTGACTTGAAACCCACCTGAGAGGCAGAGAGCAATACAAGGCGGTAATTGGTAGACAGTAACGTTGTCCTCTGGTTTTGGTATAGGAAATGAAGACAAATGGCTTTGTGTGCGTGAATAATCGACTTACTTCCAAAGACTTTGGGATAGGTCATATCCCTATGCTAATGAAACAAGACTTACTTATAAAAATGACATGGATTGGCATTTCAGTTTCATGAAATGAGATATCTCTCTTTTCTGAGAGGTATCACATGGTTAGAGCTAGGAAAAATAACTGATTGACAAAAAATATTGATCATATGGAAACTGATTTTATAATAACAAGCAATGAAAAATCCCAAATACTCCAGAAAGGGAACTGAGTGCAGGACAGACTGTCCAGGTGGAGGATGCCCCTGCATGCCCAGCTCCAGTATCACATGAATCACCAGCAGACTGGCTCACAGCTGCACATAAGCACAAGCACTTGCAAAACTGTAAAGGGCTTTAAGGAGGACTGGACTTTATGGCTTGTTAGGCTGTATCACTATGATAGTCTTTCTGGAACAAGCAAGACACTATTCTTCATTCCTTTGTGACAGTGGTGGGTGGATACCGAAACATTTCTGCTGTCACTTTTCGATTTTATGTTATGTAGCTTCACATTGAGCCTTAATTTGCTTCTTTTTATAGCTCAAGTGTAAGGAATACAGTTGAACAAATGTCACTACCCCCCCCAAAGAAACAACAAACCTGCTGTGAATATTGATTTGCATTTCTGAACAAATTCACTGGGATTACACTCCTAGCTCATTTCCAACAAGTAATCCGGTGAATTCTCTAATGAGAAGCAACTGCAACAGTGAGCTGGGAACGCTGTGCCTCAGCCATCAGGCAGGATCAGGTCTACTGGGGACAAGTGAAGGGGCTTTGGCCAAATACCTTAAACTAGTCACCCCTTCTCGCCTAACAGGACCTGGCTACAGCTACAAGGACAGTGACACAATCTGGCTTCCCCTTCATGCAGGTCGGGACATCCAAAGCCCTCAGGGAGGCCATACTGAGTTTCTCCCTCAAAGTCTGCAGGAGTACAGAGCAAAAGATATTGGAGACTTTTACTCCCTCCCCATTCCTGTGATGGATGGATCCACAGAGCTGACCTACAGGTGTTTTGGGAATCACTCCTGAATTTTGGTAGCATGCGTGGGGAGCAGGGTGCAGCCTGGTGTAATAGATATACATAAAGCATAGCTGTATAAGTGCTTTCTAGTGCAAGGAGCACCCTGGTTTTAATGTTATACTGAAATATTTACAGTATCTTTGTCTTTGACCATGCAGAATAAGCAAGAGAATATTGACAGCACTATAGAAACAGAGCAGCAAGTAAACAGCTTTAAATCCTGAGTCACTGAAGCCAACAGGAAATTTCTGAGGGAGCTGGACTGGATCACTGTTGACTACCTCTTCACAGACATTTTAAAGACGTTATCTACTGCTTTTATACTGTACCCAGAGCATAGGCTGCTGTACCTGAAAGCCTGTAGTTTCAAAGAGAACAAAGAATAGAAATTGCCACCTCTCTTCTTTCCCTCACAAGAAAACTTGTTCATTTCTAGTGCGATTTTCTGCCGGTCACCTGAGGTCAGGCAAGTGCCAGTGGCACATGGGAGTGGCAGGGTTCCACAGCCACGGAGGCAGGGGAAGAAAATGGCACCACAACCCTCTTTTGGTAACACACAGCCCCTAAAGAAGTTATCTGTATTATCACTGCACCGTGAATGTCCCAGCGCATGAGTCTCCTGGCGCTGGATGAAATACATGCAGCTGCCATGAGAGGCTACCAAGTAGCACAGAGGATTGCCTGGAGTAGGATCTCTGAGCACAGGATCCACTGGATAACACCAGTCTCACTGCCGTGCACAACCACTTCTTGACATTACAGGTTGGATGACCAGCTGCATCTGGTATCTCAGGTCAAAGAATTGAAAGTAGGTGAGACATAGTTGGGGCGAGAAGAGAGCGTTTAGCAAGGCCAGTCAAATGAGTCTGGCCAGTTGACTGGCCTGCTTTCCACCTTTAGCCCTCAAGAAATTAGTAAAGATTTTCAAGGAATTCCTTAAGAATTTTGATTACCACACCCATTTATAGCTTCATCATCATCTCAAAGCACCCAAGTGCAGAAGAAAAACAGACTATGACTAAAAATGTAAGCAACAGAAGAAAAGAAACAGGAAAAAAGAGTGGAGGAGGAAAAAAAATAACTCTTCAGAGGAGATAAAAAGAAGGAAACAAGAAGGAAAAAAGATTCTGGATAAGGAATATATATGTAATACCTGGAATGGTCTCTACCTGTCAAGGTCCCACACAAGAAAGAGAGGATCCTCTCACCTACCTGTGACACCTACATAAGGGCTATACTTGAGTTACTCAAATTGCCACTAAGTTTACTTGAGAGAAAAAGGCACTTCTAGGGGAAGCTTTGCCTTGTCTCAAAGGAGATATCCAGAATATCTAGTGTTTCTTGTTTCTCTCCACTGACTCTAAAAGGAGCCTAAACAACCAGCTCTGTATGGACATCTATAGTGTAGACACCTGCTTAGTTGAGGTTAAAACCACAGTAATGTCCCCCAGACTCCTGCATGGTCTCATCTGCTTCTTGACATACTCTGAGCTCTGTGTTTCCCACTTCTCAAAGAGAGGTGCCCATCAGACAAAAGCTGACATACTGCCAAGCTGGAGATCAGCTGAATGCTTGGGAAACCAGGACCTGGCACACAATACACAAGACAGGTAGACTAAGATGTCCCAGGGTATCACTGACATGCACAGCCAGTTTCTAGCCATAAAGCCAATGTCTTGGACAAGTAGCAATCAGTGTATTCCCCCCACTGTGAAGACTTTGATAAATAATGTAGAAACAGCTACTATGTCTACTTCAAATTTGCCAAATACAACTGCCTGTGGTAATCTGCCCTCCACAGGCTGGGTTCAGCTCCTGTGTAAATCTTGCTGAAATCAGGGAGAAGCCTTAATAGAAACAGAGCACAAGCCCTAGTAGAATGACAATAGCAGGCACATTAAGCAGCATACTAATTCAGTTCACTAAATTGGGCACTTTCCCACTTTATTTAAATAATTATAGTGAAAGAGACATTTATAGAATGAAAAGTTTGGAATAAAGTTCAATTTAAACAAAACTGAATGAAATAAAAAGGTACATTTTCAGTTGGCAGAAAGAAATAGACTATATTTGGATTTCGGTCAGAAATTCAAGGACTGTTTTTATCGCCTCTAAATATGGCAGCAGAATTCTGAGGTCCCTGGTTCTGGAAGTGATTCTGGAGGCACATCCTTTTTGGAAGAAGATTAGGGTAATTTTCCACACATTTGTGTTTATTAATAGAGGGGGGAAGAAAGTTTCAGCTGTCTCAGAATTGATTGAACCTTGTATGAGCCTCAGTGTCACGAAAAGCTTCTGTCCAGAGCTTGTACTTCCTGCTTTTAACAGGCATCTTGCATCAAAGCATTGCTATTTTTAGTCATCCACCTCTTCTTCCCAAGAGAAGTTGAAAAGTTACTAGGAATTCATGATCCATCCAAGAATTTACTTTTGAATATGTTTTCAGGCAGGTATTCAAGTAAAATGATGCTGATTTCAATTCACGCTGATGAGTTAGGCCATGAACGGTGATGATCCCAGTTTATGTCCATGGTGGCCTTCCAGAGGGTGCTAGCAGAATATGCAGACCCTTGCTGAACAATGGCATGGCTCAGCTACTTTCCTCTTTTCTGGGCTGCCAGCCTGACTAATTGCTGGCTTTCAGTATTTTTGGACGGATTTGGGCCAACAGCCAAATGACCTTGAGCTCACTGTGTTCTGCCAGCTGTTCTGTGATGCTCCCTGCCTACTTCTCGCTTCCCTCCCAGTTCTCACCTGCAGAGCTCAGGGGTGCCGGCTCACCCCAACAGGACAACTTCCCTTGCCCCCTTCTATCCAGCAGAAAACATTCTTCAGACAGAAAAGGCCACATTTCTCAAACTTGTTAACTTCAGTGGAATAACTTCAGGTTTTACCTGCAAACCAGAGTGGGGATGTGCAGTGAGGACCTCTGACATACCAGTGGGGAGCTCTGGGGTGACACAGCTCTTCCAACACTTTTGTGCCCTCCACACCTCTGACCTGAATTAGGCAGGAGGCACTTGCCAGGGCTGAAGAAGCACTGAAAATTGGAATATTTCCATGATCCAGAGGTGTGATTGCAGTTCTTCCAGGCACACTTGAGTCACCTTCAGCTGCTAGCTCTGGCACAGACAGCAAGCATTTCTGCACAGACTGTGCAAATCTACCCAGGACCCTGGGTGAACATTTGGCTGCGAATGTCCTCAATGTCCCGGATCCCCTGTTATCTGTACGCATGCCAGGAAAATTCAGGTGAGCTCAGGATGGAAAGGAGAGCCACAGTCTGCCCCTTGAACTGCAGAACAGCAGAGGAATAAACCCAAACACTGAGTACATGGGACCTCTTGGTACTTTGAAAACGCAAGTGCAGTTGTTGGCACACTGGATGGAAGGGATGTAAACAGACTACACATCCCTCCTGAAAACCTCCTGTGTACCTACACCTGCACCAATCTCCCTCTGAAACAGCATCAGGTTAACTATGCATTCATAGAATCACAGAATCATTCAGAGGCTTTTAAACCTTGTGATGGTACTGGAAGAGGAAAGCAGAAAGCAGGGCACTTATATATAATGAAGGCATTTACAGAAGCAAGACTCTTTATCTGTTTACTGTGTGGTACCAAATAGAGGATTCTGTGAGCATGTGCATCAGATAATTGTGAAAAATGTATCTGCATTATCTTTGTTAAATATCTCACTAATGTGAAAGAAAGACTAAAGGTCATCTGTCAAATGTAGTTGTGAAGCAGGAAAAAAAATCTCTTATGTTAGATATCTTGAAACCTTTAGGCTCATGATATTTTTCTGGAACAGAGAAAATGTGATCAATGAATCATTAGGAGTCCTGTGCCTGACAATGGAGGTCAAGAGTGCCTTTTGATGATGAGTTTAAGATGCTTTTATTAACCTGTCTCAAGATGGTTGATTGCTTTCTAATGGGATGAGACCCTCTGCAGCACTTGAATTTTAAGTATTTAGAGATCTTCACTGTCAAACACTTCTCAATAATTCTTCACAATAAATGAATTATTGTGCAAATGAAACTCAAGGTAGTTTTTAATAAAATCAGAGAGATTTTAGTATTCTATAAAGACTAATCATGCTTTACAAAGTATTTTCTAAAATAAAGGTAACTAATAGGAAGAAACCTGGAAATGAATGAGGAACTAGGTGGATCTCATTTTCTTTTCACACTAAGTTTCTGAGTATGTAAATACACTAATTTCTAATTCTAACTGCCTCCAGTTGAATTCTGGCTCATTATAACAGTGCATATGTGAGAAGAAATTAATTCATTTATGCTCACGTCCTAAGGAGCAAAGCCATTTTCAGCCTTGATGCTTTTTGATACAAAATCTATTTTGCATCTCATTGGCTATATAGATTACATTCACATTTGCTTCACAATTCTGTTACACAGAGAAGTGCAAAGGGATGTCTAACTACATGAGAATCAGGCCATCACACATAAATTTTCACTCCTGTTTCAAGATCCCAGTTCCCATTTCATTCCCGAAGTGCATAACAAGTAAATCCTTTTAAATCCACCAGAAATAATGAATAGGAAAACAGAGTAAGGAAGATATTAATTAGAGGGGATGAGCAGCAATATTCCATATATAAATGGCTGCACATTTTGTAGAGTTAGAATAGATAGGATTTTGTTCATGCACCCTTTTTAAAACTCTAACAGTTTAGGCTTTCTTCTTGAAAGGTAGATTGAGTATCACTTCTGAATTTATAAGCAGCAGAGGACAGTGTTTCATTAGGTCCTGCCAACCCCAACTATTCTTAGTAGATGAGTTTCCTGTATCCTGTTTTCACCTTATGATATGTTAGAAAACAACTTATTAAGTCACTAACTAGGCTGGTAGCTGTTCAAATTCATACAGCTTCACTTATTTATTGTGCAGCTATGTGGCATAATGCTCAATTGTCTCATCTGCCATCTGCTTTGGTGTCAAGATGTGCTTTTTTCCAAGTGACATTCTGTTGTCAATTGAAGCATTCTTGACATTTCTAGATGTCTTTGTTAAGAAGTTTGTGGTCTACTTCATGTTTCCACAAGAAAGTGTTACTGATCAGTACCACCAGTACCATGGGACTTGCTGTTTCTGGAAGACTAAGGGACCGCTCACCCTGCCATTTCTAGGCAGCACTCTAGAAAATTCTGAGGCTTTGCAGTCATTTCTTCCAATTCCCTGCCAGTTTCACTTCTCAGTGAAGGATTCCGATGGCTTCACCTGCTCTGTTTGATATTTTGCTCTCTACTTTCTCTACATGTTCAATATTTTTCTGACACTACATGCAAGTATGAAATCAGAAAACTTAATGCTGGTTGTGAGGCCTTAGTCATCTCACACAGGTCAGAACTGCAAAGAGTTAATATGTTATTGAGATGCTCAGCTTACTGTTCTCAATTTAGTACGGACTGTGTACTGTACTATGGTATATTGTGTACTGTATCGCAGTCTATAAGAGGGAACCTCTCATTAGGCAGTACTTGTGCACAAAACATTGTTATACTGCCTCACAAGCCAAATATGAATCAAGTGTGTGATGATGAAATAAAAAAATTAGCCAGTCTTAGTCTTGGGGGGGGGGGGGGGGGTGGGGGTTTGGAACTAGATGATGTTAAGGTCCTTTCCAACCCTAACTATTCTATGATTCTACAATTTGAGGTACTAAAAGGGAGGCCATTGGCAAGACCTGGGAAGCACGTTACTGACTTTCATTTGGGGTATCAGTGCCTAAGAAAGATGTAGGCATATTTGAAAGCTTCCAGGGGGACAGCAACAAGAATAAAAAGACTGGAGAACCAGCAACAGACAAGGATGGCTTAAAAGCAAAACTATAATCACTGTAATTTCTGGAGGTCCTACCCATTTGCCATGCTGCAAGTGTGTCATTTTTGAATCCCTGACTCAATTCTTCCAGCCCACAAACACCAACATGTTCTCTTGAGGATACTTTTAAAGATCCCAGGGAACTGTAGGGAACTGTGGGAGAGGCTGTCTTGCTGAGGGCTCATCACAGTGCCCACGTGGATATAATGCAAGTTACAAGGACGTTAATAATTGTTTGAGTATCTGCAAGACTTTTTTTCCCCTCACATACTGTTTTCAACAGCTTGGCCTAATTGTGTCTTTTGAGGACACCTAAGTGTATCTTGCAAATATTCGCCTAACTAACTGTGTCCTAACTGTATCCTCAGAAACAAACACCACAGAGCAACTCTTCAGCCTGATTCTGTAAAGATGTGTCCCTTCAATTAGTCCCACTGACAGTCTGTGCACAAAACTAGGCTTGGATAGCTGGCAGAGCTGATGTAACCCAAGGCCAAATCACACCTGTCAAGGATTAGGCTGTAGACCTGTACTGCAGCAATGAGAATATTTGGTTCACAAAAGCTTTCAGGAATAGGCCCTGCATAGATTTCATAATGCATTTAAATAACTTATCTTAGACACTGCAAAAAATAAATGGTTTGTGCCACACAGAAAAAGGTCACAATGACACATTTCAACAAGAGGTAATTAACGTATTATTTGGCATTTCATTTGTCAGTTCTTATAACATGGTGCTCATGGCCAGCAGTTACACAAGGACTCTGTTAGCAGAGAAAAAGTTCATTAAGAAACTCTAAAAGTTGCATGCAACCGTTATTAAGTATCACAGAAGGTATTTGCACACTTCCACTTTTCCGCTTTAGGGTTTACACTGAAAATAAAAACAGTTTCTTTGCGAGGTGCTTCCGATAAAATATGTATGCTGAAACAAAATATACGTCCAACCATCCATGCTCTATCAGCACATAGGCTCCTTCATTTTGATACCACAGTAAGAATGAGGGGCTTTGATGTTTTGCTCAGTGAAATACACCACTGGGGGATTTTTCATCCAAAACTTGCAGTTAAATACACACCTCACTTCAAACCCTGAAATCAGCAGGACTCTTCATGTGCTTGAATACCTTCCTGAATCAGGCTGCAAACAACTGGCATTTTCCCACATAGCTTAGCTAATGAAGCTGAGAGATGAAGCCAGATAGCAGCCAACATATGTTGGTTTGTCTCAACAGCTCTCATCTAACATTAGCTCTCATTACCTTGCCAAGCCCCGCTCACTGCCCACAACTCACGGAAAACCTGGCTAAATTTTGCACTTCTCTACCTAACAGTCATGTAATGGCATGCTTTTAGCGCTGCTACAGTGAAAGTTTGCTAAAAATATACAGCTAAAGTGTGTCTTCTGGACTCTGAAGTTCTATCATCCCATTCATCTTCAGACAGAAGCATAGTCTGAAAGCAACTTTTCCTTGAAAATTGCTGTCATGCTCCACCCTGAAAGATGGCAGAACAAAAAGTATTTCAAGTGATTTCATGGACATGTACATCTGGGCGTTTTGCAAAGACTAAGTTTGCAACAATCTGTTGAATTTTCTATATCGTAATGAAATCAATTCAGAATCATAGCCTGTGTCCTAATGGATCACATCTCAGCAAATCTGCGCATAAAAAATGATAGGTTTCTAAAAGGAAGGGATCAAAGCTCCAGTTCAGAAGGTTCTTAAATTCATGCTCAATTTTATCTGCCCGTTGAAACATTAAAATCTAAACAAAGGGAAACACGCGTGGTTAGCTTGCAAAACAATCATTCTTAGCTGAACGTAGGTAGAAAGACAGATTTACAAGCATATTTTATTTCTATATGTATGTAACCTTAAACTAGTATAATTTACATGGAAAAGGACAGCAATCAATACTGCAGTAGAAGTACATTTTTCCTATATATAGAACAAAGATTCCATGCCACCTTGAAGACTTACTGCTGAATCCATTGAGACTGTACACAAATCTGGGAATTTAAAGTCCAAAAGCAGCCTTTTTAGCAAAGGAGATGTTTGACAGTATCCATCTAATTTTCTTTTTGTTCAAACTGTTTGAGTTTAGAGGGTATATTTAGAAGATACAGGCATAGTGTCAGATGTTTCCATCATAATTCATAGCCTGAACAAGAGCATCTCCCAAGACCTGTGTATATCCTCAGTACAGCCCTAAGCCACCTAAAGGTTTTTTTTGCTTTCTCTAATCAGCAAAAAACATAATGAGAATATGCTTTATCTAGAGCTGTTTTGCACAGCTTGAGTAAATTGGAGTGAAGGAAAAGCTGCAGTCATTCAAACCATTCATTTAAAGAGATGTTGCTCTCCTTCTTCCCTACTGATCCTCTACAACTCATTTATGAAGTATTTTTCCATGTAGCTTTCCTCTTCCTCCCTCTACTCTCTCCAATTGTAAATGTCTGTATTTTCATTGATGTAGGATACAAAGGCCAGCAAAGGTCTTACCAAGTGAGTGAAAAGCAACTGCTTTCCAATACATAGCACTGCCCACACCAAACGTAAAGCTGGAATTTTCCATGATCCTCTAGTTGATCGATAACATCAATAACGGTTAAGTCATAAGCTTAATTCACAACTCAACTATTTCTCAAACTTACCACCAACTATTTCTCAAACTTACCACCACCTGTTTCTCACACTTATGACACCATTCAAACATATTACACCATTTTTATCAGTACATTATAAGAAAGATAAGCCTGGCTCACTCACACAATTTAGTAGGTACTTCTCCCAGGTCCCCAGGAGTGATCTGCAAACCTGCAGCAGAAACACATGTTCTCACACACCTTGGCAAAGCAGGTGGCTGTTTGGTCCACCAACAAACTAGTCCAGCGATACACTGTGGACTGGAGCAAAGTTGCCCCACACATCAGGGGAATTCAAGCTTGGTGAGTCACAGAAGTAATTAGAAATACTGACATGATCATGGTATAGACTAAGAATAGCTTCAAATACAAGAGCAAATAAGTAAACACAGCAGAAATAACAGGCCTTTGAGGTCTGCTCATTAATGCAGTGAAGGATAAATGACAGAAGGGATGAGAGCAAAACAAGGATCCAGGTGACAGGTTACATGGAGCACCTCCAAGGCACTCCAGATGGGTCTGCAAGAAGTCAGGAAAGCACTGGGAAGCCCAGAGAGGAGGCAGGTGCAGGATCATCTTCAAGAGAAAAGGAAGATGCCTTTGTCAGAATTGGGGATATTTGGAGATCTTGAGTGCAAATGCCTGACCTTGTAAATACTAGGAAGAAAGGAGCAACAGTGCAGCCCAGCACACACACTCCTATTTCCATACAGCACCTCATGCTAACAGGTAGTCCCAGCAGCAAAGACAGAACATGAGCTGTGTGAGACATCTGTAGGCTTTAAACCAAGAGTTAACATTATTGCAGATTCATTTACCCCTGGCTAAAGAAGCAAAACTTTTCTCCTTTTCATTTACTATGTGAAAATACTTATTTCTCTTCATTTTATTACTTCTAACTACTACTACACACAGAACTGCCCTCCCCCTGCCTTAGAATTTCCTTAGTAACTGAGGAAAATTACAGACTGAGCAGCTCCCACAGTGCCTGTAGAAGGAGTCTGGAAACTGAGATTCTACCCCATTTTGCAGGTTTGCCCCTTTCCCTGTAGGGCAGAAGCTGCTGAACAGAGGCACACTGCAGAAAACTAGAGGAATAAGGATGCAATGTGCAGAACAGCTGATTTGTTTTTGTGGTGGCATGAGGGAGGCTCTGAACAGCTCAGAGAATCTCATCCTCTCTGAGGACTCAAGAGCTCTGACTGCAGATTAGGACAGGGATTTCCTGTCTCAGCTCTGAGGGCTCAGATTCATCATCAGCAGGGAGGTTATCTTGTGATGGCCAACATCATTCCTGTTCCCAGTTATCCCCCCACACCTCTGAGATGCTCCCAAACTCTTTGCAGGAATGCCTGAGCAACCTATTTAGCCACTGGTTTAGTTTATAGTGTATTATAATAAGGTAACACTGAACTGCTTTCAGTTTCCTTTAATGAACCAAGCTACAAGATGTGGTTGCTACAGGAGGAGTCATGGGAGATCTCTGCTGCTACATGAGCAGTTATGCCATCTTCACAAGACAGACTTCTTCCAGAAGAGGTAGGCTGCTGTAGGCATGAACCATGATTTCTCCTCCAAGGGAAGCCATCCCTGCTTGTGAGTCAAGCTGTGGCTGATTCCCTCAGTGACAAAGCCAGTTTGAGAGACTGATATTCTCTCTTGAATGCCTAGGCACACTTTCACACTCCCACCCCACCCCAGAAGCTACCTCCCTCAACTATGCTGATTCAGCTACCTTGTGAGCATGCTCTAAAACCTGTGAATTGATTGTGTTAATTTCTAGGACTTCTTTTTCAGTGCAAGAACTATTTTAACCAAATCTGATTTCACTGGGTAACAACATAGAGGCACAGCTTTAAGCTGTATGACATTCAAAATTAAATATATTTATCAGAAATTCACCTAATTTACACCAAACCACAACATACACCATAGGTAGAAGTTCATAGAAGCTTACAGAAGATATTTGCCTTACATGAATCACCTGTGGTTACATGTGGTTGAAAACATTCCTAATATCTTGGATTGAACCTATAAAGTGCCATATTCCTGGGTACAGAAAGATCTAAACCAAGACATTTTTTTCCCTTTCATTGATAACCATCAGCGGAAAACGTATTTGCAAGACCTTGAAGTGACTACAAGCAATGGAATTGAAATATCAAATTTGAAGCGCAGCACTTAATACCTTTTACTTGGACACCTACAGTGTACATTATCAAAGTAGCTTGTGGGAGGCAGAGTTGCACACACAAACAATTTTGCTGCTTCATGGAAGAACCTGCATGCACGGTCTCCACTCCTCATCACACCGCCTTCAACGTGTATTTCATCACGCTGGTGTGAAGGGTAGCTTTAAGAACACACTACTCTGAAAACAGATTGAGGACAAAATTCCCTCCTGATTTATCAGCCTTGCTGATAAATGTAAATGTGGAGGATAAAAGGTTACAAACAGGGTCTGGGGACCCCTTTCCTTGCCAACTGTCATGTAGTGCTGAGGCTTTGAAAACACCTCTGGCAAGCAGCACTTCAATCACTGTCACACAGGAAGGGCTGGGAGAAGATTCAGGCAGTTGTGGTGCATGAAATGGTTGTGGCATGTGTATGAAATGATGCTTTGATCTATGCCTAGGCTCAGGTTGAAAGTTTCCCTGATAAGCCACTGAAGAATGATTGTCCTAAATGCACTGCACTGTCTTGCTTTGAGATCGAGTTTCATCCCTCTTCCTTTAATAAAAATCAACATTCAGATCTCACATGCACACATGAATGTTGCTATCTGATAGACTTAGCCATATGTATGCAGTACATAAAAGGCTGATTTTCCTATTGAAAACATGTCCCAGGAAGCTTTTTGTAAGGCCACGGTTAGAAAATTGACTAATGAAGGCATTAGAATATAGGAGCTGGCACAGTCATTGTCAGCAGACATACAGAGATTAATGTTACTCTCAAATTCACTTTTGAATTTGATTTGTGTCCTTCTGCCAGTAAAACTCCATAGTGACTATGGCACATCCTTTGTGTCATCGATGAAGACTTGCATGTTCCATCTCCCTCCCAGTGTCAGAGACATTTCCAACCATGGACCAACCCAAGAACAGAGGAACAGGTTTTGTTCTTCTCGTTGCAAAAATATGTTCATTGGTCTTTTTTTTTTAACCTGTAGAAGTAATCTTATGTCAAAAAGTAGGTCTACTGTAGACAGGTGATGAGAAGGAATGACCCTGGAAAAAGAACACGTTACTATGCTGCTGTTCTTCCCAATCACTGTCTGATGAAGTTCTCACTCTGTTCTTTAAATTGTCCTTAAAAACACCTAATAAAACCAAGCACATCATTGCTGGTATTTCTAATATTAAGACCACACTACAAGAAAACTTTCTTTAAAAAAATAAATTAGGTCACTGTAAAGCTCATAAAAAAGCAAACCACATCACAGCCTGATTCCCTAATGCATAGCAAGATAGGAATCAAGCACTTGGGAAGGCCGCAAATTAGCTTAGCTTAC